TTTTTCCTTCTGAAGTGAATCTTGAATATTAGCATCGGATTTTATTCCATCCGGAATTAAATCGAGAATCAACTCATAAAACTCTTCATCATTAACAAATACATTTGAAGGAGGAGGTGTATGAGAAGAAGAAGGTGTATGAGAAGGAGGAGGTGTATGATAAGGAGGAAGTGTATGAGAAGGAGGAGGTGTATGAGAAGGAGGAGGTGTATGAGAAGGAGGAGGTGTAAAGGGAGGCGTAAAGAGAGACGTTGCAGTAGATGTAGGGGGGGATGTAGGCGAAAGTCCAGGAAGAAATGTAGAGAGAAATGTTGGCGGTGGTGTAGGAGGGGGTGTAGAAGGATTTCTATTCTTTCGAGGTTTTGAACAGCGTTTAGGACCACGTTTTTGTGGTTGAAAATCATATGTACATTCAAGATTGTGCTTTATACATTTACGGCATTTAGTAGATTGATCGAAGGGTTCTACCTTTTTACATCGACTTTTTGATTTTCTACAAGAATCACACGCATGAGTCGTATTGTATCGATATGTTGGGAGCTTATTAGATGTTGTCATGTTAAAGAATCTTCACAATTAATGTTTCGTGAATCCTAAATAAGACTCTCAGGATTACCTTTGAAAATTTGAAAAGCAATGTATTTATAACTTTCGATAAACTAAGTTGTGTATAACAATATCGAGTTTTTTCTAATAAAAAATATATTTTTGCATTTTATTAACATTTTGATTGACTATTTCGTCCTGCAGTTAAAAAGACAAAATTATAAAGGTCAAAATCGAATCTATTGAATTGCTAAATTTTAGAAATTAAAATGATCCAATTATGCATTGTAACATTAACTATTCTTTGTTAATAGTTCTCTTTAGGAAATTTTATGATACCATATTTTTACTATAACACGGAATTTCATAAGATTAAGGTTAACAATTGTATTTCGAAATTTTTTCCCTGCAAATCAAATAATTTTCCATCATATTTGTGATCTAGATTTATTCTATTCGCTAAAACTTTGTTATTTATAAAATTATTACTAATTGATTAAACAAGTTAGATGTCAATGTGACCAAAATTAATATATTACAAAATTTTTATGCATTCTAATGCATATACTGTGATTTTATAGGCTTTAACTGCGCAAATCGCTAAATATTATATGCTTCTATTTTCTCTTCTTTTTTTTCTAAAACTTCTTATTTGACGTTAAGGAAAATTAAGCCCTGATTATTAAAACCAAATTCGATAATTTGTAAGTTAAATGTGTAAAATAAATTTCTAGTTTTAGATTTTTATAGTCTCAGAGTTTCAAGTGGTATAACATTCGACTTTATAATAATATAATTTACTTACATCGATATCTTCTCAGGTATAATAAATATCTGAATTTCAGTACAGCAATTTACTATTTAACAAAGCAAAACTGACATGTATCTATTAGGATAAATGAATAATAGTTTCAATAAGAACATTAAAGCCGAGAATCACATGAAAATTGATACAGTTGTTTGTTCGTACAGAAATTTGTACCGTTTATGCAGAAATATGAAACTGTTTGAGTCATTATAATCTTTCGGATCTAATCTTCCGAGATAATTTACGTATGATTATCTTCTAATGACTAAATTAGGTAACAGTGATTCTAAATTAGTAATTTGATTAAATAGCTGTTACGCAGTTTCGAAATTTTAAATGTTTTAATAATTATAATTTCTTTTATTTGCAGAATCAATCATAGAGACATCGCCGAGAGAAATCACACTATTTCTACAAAAATCAGACAGAGTAAATTATAAATTTAAAATTCCGAAATGTGATAACATCTACATGAACTGCCGACAATAAAAATCAATTTATCTAACAAGTCATTCTTGATTTCTATTGATGGCATTTTAAATAATGCAAATCATCAATAAAAACGTTGTAAGAAATTTCGATAGATAAGGCCACGCAAAGTTAATTTTTCGTTTTGCATAACATGGAATCTAAAAATTTGGGTCGGCGGGCGGGTTTTT